TAACTGTTAAATGAGAAACTATTTTGTTCTGTAAGCCTTCATGTAAAGTGAGAATAGCAGCACAATTGGAAGAGTGTAGTCTATGTCACTGAAGTGTGCATGTAGATATTTTTGAAATGGTGTATCTTTGGCAATGTATATTTTCACCAAAAAAAAAAAAAAGAAAGGTCAAGAAGTTAGAGGGTTGACATGTTGTGGGGTTGTTAACCAATGTCATAAACCAATATGTGTACTACTGTTTCATGAGAAACTATTTGTTCTGTAAGCCTTCACCTGAAGTACAATAAAATAAATTAATTTAAAAAAAAGATATGGAAACAAAATAAAGGATAATACAGATAGCAGTCTGTGTTGACAATATTCACCATATTGAAGTCATTCATGGAAGCCAGCCATGGGTAACATCCACAGTGGAATCCAGCTCTATGAGTATAGAAGTTCAGGTAATGCTGGCAAGAGACATCTCCAAAAAAGTAGGTTGAAATCTCAGTATTTAGAGCAGGTGGCAAATAACAGCATCACCTCAAGCTATATGTTATGGAATTATAAATGTAAAATAGTGATTAGTCAAACTTTTTAAAGGATAATGTCCCCTTCTGCAGATTCCACAGAAACCCAGGCCAAAAATAGCAAGAGGAAACCTATTCACATCCTCCAGGCTTGTGGTAGTTCAGTGACTTTTAGAGATGAGGGCTTACTCTCTGTAATTGACTCTAAGCCCATTTTCTTTCTTGCGTAGGCCAACGCCAAAAAAACTTATTTTCTTTCGTTCAATTGTTTTGTTGCAAGCAAAAAAAAAAAGTTCTAAAAAGTCATTCTCAATTGATTGTTCTAAACAACCACAGTGCTCCAACACAACCTCTCTTGCTTTCTGTGTATGTGCATGGGCATGGGCACGCATGTTTCTGTGTGCGTACACACAGCAGTCTGTCTCTCTTAGCAGGCCAGTATGTAGAACTCTAACATGATGTTGGTGTTTCTTGCATAGCTTTATGATTCTTGTTTTATAGAACTAACAAAAATCATGACCGTATTTTTCTCTCAATTAGAAGCTTCTAAATTTAGTTTCCTTTTTCTTTGTCATCTTCCATCAGTTTTCCCTCACTGTGGAGCAAGGTTCAACAATAGAAAGGTAGTGTGCTAGTATTATTTTTAAGACTGAGAAAAAGTGTAAGTATTGGACTAACAGTTGCAATTATACGTATTGACATTATTTCAGACAAAAATTGAGCTTTTCATTGCTTGTTCAATCCACTCTAAAATTTCCAATGTGCTGAAATAGACCAGCCATGACAATGAATCTTGGAAAGAAAGCCTAAGCATACTGTCCACCTCAGCAGAGCAAAAGAAAGAAAAGTGTTCCAGGTCTCTATCAATTTATCAGAAAAAAATCATTTACTGACTATTTCCTATGACTAGCACTGTGCCAAATACGGTGGAGGACACACAAAATAGTATGGTATTGTTCTCGCTCTAGTGGAATTTACTATTTTGATTTTCTTTTTTTTTTCTTAAGTCCAGAAAGCTATATCCCTAAGTGAAGCAACATGGACTAACAGCAGTATTAACAACCCCAGCTCATTAGTCATGCTGTGCCCCAGCCCCCCAGGGAAGAGGACTGAGAAAGTAGTCTTTCTCTTCTCCCCAACTCTCGCCTGCCTCCCTCCACTAAGCACAGACACATCATGAATTTTATGTCAAGAAGATTTTAGTCACTAAAGAAAAACAATAACATAATCTCATAAAGTTGAGCACTTAACATTCTGGGTTACACAGATGAGTAGAAGTTTATAATTTGTACACATAGCAGAAACTGTATACTTCTACTCCCCAAAGAGTTGGTTAGTTTTAGTCAGTGACCCACGTAGCAACCCTTAGTAAAATGCATACCCTTCCAAAGCCAGTGTACTTTGCCACCCAAAAGCTATAAGGTACATTTGCTTGAATTATATTTGCAAATTATAATATTTGCAAATTATATTCAGTGTCCTATTGGTCCAGGGTTGCTATAGAGCACACAAGAATCTTGAATTTTCAGTGGACTATGTATGTTTGATTTCTATATGAAAGCAATAGCCAAAACGAGATTTATTTTAATGTTTGTACTCTTTTATGTTGCTTTCAGGGTCGACTCTGTGTTCATGGGTGAGTATAATTAAACTAGGCAGTAAAAAGTTCATACCTTTGTGACAGACCCTTTGCATTGTAAAAGCAATACTACACAATTTGCATAAATCCTTGCATACCCACCTTTGTCATCCTCATACTATCATAACATGGCTTTGGAGAGATGGAATCCAGAAAGGTTTGACTGTGCTTATGTATCTGCAGCCTAATATTTTTATGTGAAAAAGTAAACAAAGCAGGAATATGTAGTTAAACTGGAAGCCTATTTCCCTGCTATATGAATATACAAAAACCCACCTGTTCAAACTTCATACATGATCCCACAAGAAGTACAGCACTGACGGAATGATGGACTGAGTCTGTATTCTAGCATTTTCTGGTTGAACAGATTCACAAATCCCAAAGTGAACACTGAAGGATTTGCCTGCTGCCATAAGTAAACAACTCTGTTTATAAGGAAAATATTGACTGAATAACAATTAAGTGTTTTATGCTTCACACAAATTTAAAAAACAACAACAAAATCTTTGCCCTCAAGCCTGTAGATCTTCAAGAAGTACATGATCTTTAATGGGGTATCTAAAAGGTATAGAACATATTTAGAGGTATTTACTATTCTTACTCTTTAGGAAGAACCAAATTACCCACTGTTTCAAAGAACATTGCTTTTTATTCCCTTGGTGCCAAATCAATAAAAGTCCTTCCAGCATGGCAGCTGTTGCTTAATGGCCCCAAAGAGCTAATGCACTGCTTAAATTGAACACAATTCAGGGTCTACACCAAGTGGGCCCTCAATTAATGTTGATAGATTGACTTTCTCACAGGCAATAAAAGCACAGTTTATAGAGATGGATCCTATGAGACTAAAGCATTATATGCTGAATTCTATGTTTGCAGCATAAAACAATAAAATATAAGAGCTATACTTACTTGCTTTCACTTTAAAGAAAAAAAAAAGGTGATTACAGTTAAATGACAGATACTAAGAGATTCCCAATAACTTTAAGTCATAATCTAAGTATATGGAAACTATAAGCGTTGGATAATTTAACATAAATATTCTGATTGTGATACAGAAGCAATTTTAAGGAATTTGAAAACAAACAACTGAAGATAAGATGCAAACATTTTTTATTAGTAACAACTTTTAATCACAGTAATAAAGATTGTTTATCAGTAAGAAACACTCCATTTGAATTGTTCTCTGCACATCATCTAATAGATTTTGCAACCATCTATATCATTTTTTGCTATTCTTTAAGGGAGATAAGCGAGTTTTCTAAGATGTGACAAAAGTGGCCATTTAATTTGAAAGCATAATGAATTTCCTCTTTAGCTTCCATTACAGGGTTGTATGGTTTTACCTTCAATCAGGTGACAGATCAGAAAACATCTGCTTAGTCAAAGTAGAATCTTAGATGGTGAGGGAATGGGCTGTTGGGTACTTCAGCAGAGCACTACTCTTGCATCCTATATCCAGACCAGAGCTGTGCTTCACATTTGAAAAAAGTTTGAGCGAATAAACTAACAAAGGTCTGATATCACAAGATGGGGAGTGGAATTAGTTCAGAGAGCAAGGAGTCGGCCAAAAGATCAAAAGAACTGGAGAAAAAGCTTCAGCAAGATGCTGAGAGAGATGCAAGAACTGTAAAGTTGCTATTATTAGGTAATATTTTTCCCCTTTTCTTTCAAAAAACTGATTTTCTATTCACTTTTCTCAAAATTTAATTTCAAGTGATATTACCATACAGGAAATTTATTAGGAATATGTGTTTAGAAACTTAAATAGACTTTACATGCATTCAGTAAGTATTTAATAATAGGATTTTCCTGTTTAATATGTTATTACATGTGTTTTTGTTAAGCAGATGGACAAATATTTATTTGATGATTCCACTTCCCTATGTCAATAAGATTAATTATCATTAAATTAAAACTCATACATATTTATTATTTTATCGTTCCCTAATTATTTCCTGGATGTCAGCTTTTTAATACTAAAAACAATCCTTCAATTAACAAGTTTTAAAGATAAATGTTGTCTTGTTTGAGCAGAAACATGTTGTTTGACATCACATTTAGAATGTTATTTATTTACTTGTGCTGTTAAAATCAACTAGACTCAATTTATTTAAGGAGTAATGATAAGATAGTCTCAGTTATATTAATTATGTTATTCTGGCTCCTAAATGTTGCCAAGGATCTTGTCTGTACACTTCAATTCATTTATAGCATTTGAGGACATTTATAGAATTCATTCGGGACAAGAATTGTGTCTTTTCTATCTTTTCATTCCCTCAGATCTCAGCATGATGTTTACCAAAACTGTAATTATGTTCAATGAATTTAAAGAATGAAATAATCTACATGCCACCTATTGTTCTGAACAAAAATTACATATAGTGGTAATTGAAAACAGAAATATATTTTGAAATAAAAATAAAGACTCATACAAAGAATACCAAACAAGAGTGTTAATTAAGTTAGCCAAGTATTCTCTCCCTGCTCTTAGTGATAAACAAAAGGGCTTTGATTTATTCCAGAACTGTGAAACTTTCACACAAAAAAGTCGTCTGATTTTTTAGCGTTCTTTTACCGTGCCTAATTTGCTCCCATTGGCAAGAGCATCTCACAAGCAAACGGTGAGATTTCCAGCATTTGCTTTTAAAAGGAAAGGATATATTCTCTCCCTTTGTGCATGAGTTCTGTGGCTACCCGTATGAACCACAGCCCTTGCAAGTACCCACTTAGAGGTTAGTGACTTAGTGAAATGTTGATGTAAGCTCTCATGCAATCAGTAAATATACTTTTCCTAACACTCCAGAGTATTCACTGAAGTTTTGATCAAGAGTGGAAGTCATGTGGGCATAGAAAAAGGAAATAAAAGGTGGGTAGGGAAGCCAAGCATTCCTATAAATGCTTTTTATGTTCTTGTACTAAGAACAATGGCATAAGGGTGTTGATAAAATATATTTTAGCCCTGTGTTTAAATAACATTCCAAAATAATAAGTACATGTTTTCAAAATGCCAATTATTTTTAGATTAAAATGGTGGATTCGAAGGAAAAAAAGAATAACTTTTTGGACTAGAGCTATAAAAGAATCATTATTGGAGCAATCACATCCTTTACTTTCCCAAGACAACCATGATTTCATGTGTCAGTCCCATCATTACTATACAATATGCTTGTATTTATTTAGCTCCAACAGTATGGGCAATCTCTCAGTCACCTCTTTATTTATACAAAATTAATTAAATTGTCTTAATTTTTTCCTATTTCAATTATATTCTAAACACTTACCTGACTAGATTTTCCCTTGTGAACTCTATTTGTGTTCTACGTATCATGGTTCAGTTGTCAAGCTGGAAACAACAAAGTCTTTCAACAACTCTGCTTTGGTTCTCATTTTTGAATTTCACTAAAATTTTCTACACTTTAATTTTTTATATTCATTTTGACGTCTTTAAGATATTATAAAAGTGTGCAATAGAACAAAACTAAATCTTCCCACTCTCCCACCCTTAAAGCCTCCTCCACCAGTGAGACCTATCTAATGTGTCCCATCATTGAAACAATGATTCCCATGTCATCAGTGTACTTTGAACCACAGGTTTCAAGTTGATCAATGAGTACATGTCATGTAGGATTAACCAATTTAAAGTTAATAGTGACCAGATCCTGAGTCTAACCCTGCTTTTGCAAAAATTAGAAATCTCAAAATAACTATTAACAGAATTAATTATTATGTTGATCTTCTTCTTATTATCTGGTGAAGTCCTAGGCGCTTAAACACAAAACACCAAATTTTCAAATGTAGGGTGTACTATAAAATATACACACCATTTAATATTATTGGACACAAGATTTCACTGAATCTGAAAGACTTTCAGAAAGCTACTTTACAATTAAAGGATTACCTTGCAGACAGATTTTTTTTAATGTCTTTCCGACCTTGAGTAAAATTACAGAACAGATGCTAAATTAGTTTTCTTAGCAAAGTAGCCTTCTAGGAAATACCAGAAATGACTCATATATTCCTGGTGTGTTTGATAACTGCTATTAAGACAAACATGTCATGTGCTTTAAAAAAAAATGAGCCTATAAACACGCCACAGAAAAGAGTGTATTTTAATAAGAAAAATGAATTTTAATGAATAAGTTGTTCTGTTTTGTAGACTTCCTAAGGTAGTTTTTCAAGTTATTATTTATAAATAATGTTTGACTGAACTTTTATAGTCAAACACTATTTATAAATAAACATTATCTATGAATAAACTTTATAAAGAAACTAAACGTTCTTTAGTCAAACATGATATTCACAAATCTGTGATAAATTGAATGTCAATAAATGTATACAAGTTTTCTTCCTTTTGCCATTCTTTCTTGTATAACTGACAGCAGAGAGATCATAAGACTTGGGATAAATTAAAGTTCTTATTTGGCACTATGGTTTTTTTTGTTTATTTCTTTTTTTTAATAGGTCTTTCTTTTTATCTTAAAAATGTATCTCTGGGTGGGAGTGGGAAAGGCTGCTGGAAGCTGGAGGTGTTTCTTAGTCATTGGCTAAATTTTAAGTTCATCAAGTGTAAGAAATTCTATTTTAAAATTTCATGACGCCAGTATAGTCAATGCTTGTCCCTGGATGTGATCAGAAAACAGGTTACCTGAAATAATTACATCAGGATTAACTGATAAATCTCTTTCTGATTACCAATGATAAGAGAAGAATCTGTGAACATATAGGATATACTCCTGAATAATGCTCCCAATTATTTGCTTTATTTACCCGAATTTATAACCATTATTTCCTTTATCCAATAAGAACATATTTTCATTTTATGTTTGTAAAGATATTGGCTATTCATCAATCTCGTGTATGCATAAATAACTTTTATGCAAACATTTACATGGTTTCTCAATTTTTCAGTTAAGTAGAAGTCATTAGGTAGAAAAAGTTTATTTAGAGAGTTTCAAATGTTCTCCAAAGTGTAATGAACTATTTGCACTACAATAATG